ACTCTAATGCTCTTGTTGTCTATCAAATATTTTTTCTATCACTCATCACCCTACGAACATTGACCTAAGTTTATTCCCCGGTCCTTCATCATCTAGTATGTATGTATGTATGTTCCCTCCTCATATCATCACGTGTAGTGTATGTATTATAACAGTAGTAACATCTCTGATATCAGTTTTTCTCCAGCCCTTCATACAATGAATGTAAGAACACCTCCCGCTCAGTGCGAGCTGCCTCGGCGAGTGTCAGAGAGGTTCAACACCTTAATGGGTCGCGCCGGTGAGGATGTTTAATGCGTTTTTTATATTAAAGGTAACGAACATGGTAATGATTGGGTGTAATTTATGATTCTATAGCTCATTACGTATGAGGAGCGCCCCGGGTCCGTATAACGCCGCCCGTCCTTCATAAGGCAAGCAGACATCCCGCGGCGTGCAAGTATTTCGTTTCTTGTCCTCATCTCATTTGGCAGCTTCCACCAGACGTGTTAATTATAATGTATAATTGCGTTTAATTTGTCTCTCTACCGTCCTGTACCGTTTATTTCTACTTTTTATTATTGTAAGTATTCAAAGGAGTAGTATATGTTTAGAAGGCCTCGTAAAGGCCAGTCCTTGTGTTAGAATATTTAATATTTGTATATTAAGAAAATTATTAATACATTGAAGTGTCCATATAAGGGAGGGTGATTATAAAAACTTTTTAAAAACCGATATAAAAAGTCCAAGAGTCTCGTTGTACGTATAAGGAACTATTAATGATCAGTCGAAGGAACAGTTTTCAAGTGTATTATACAGCACATTATGATCCACCGTATTTGGTCTAATACGTGATACACGCGTGTCTCATACACTCCATCATAAATACACCCAGGCTCACCCAGATCATACTCAGCTCCTATATAAATATATAAACTCCTGTAATGAACTTTTTTCCCGCGAAGTAACTTTCGACTGATCAAGATTTCTCTCGAGTCTCCCAAGACTATTCCTAGGAAGGCAAAATTATTATTCTAAGAGTGTATTGTGAATGAGGATTTCTAATTCCAAATGAAAGTATTTCCTTATATGTCTACAAACTTCAAGAATATAATATTTTATCGAGTTGAAATTTTTCTTGTTTTTCATAAGCCTAAGTACTAAACTGTGACCAGAAATATAAGAATATGTTACAAGTACTATTTGATTTATTTGGTATCCATTAAAATTGAGTTTCAAAGCCTTCAGTATCATATATTCAGAAATGAACTGTACTTACTGTAGTGTAGTGTACATAAGTATCCTCATTTCTTATCCTATGAAAGATTTTAAATACCTAATTAGTTTTCAATTTTGTTACAGAAACTAATACAATATTTAAGTTTTAGTTTGTCATCCCTACTAATATTATAAATGCGAAAGTAACTCTGTCTGTCTGTCTGTCTGTTAAGCTTTCACGCCTAAACCACTGAAATGAAATTTGGTACAGATATAGAGTTCACCTTGAGAAAGAACATAGGATAGCTTTTATTCTAGACTTTTGAAAGGTTCTCTTGGAAACACGATATAACCGAACTCCACGCGGGCGAAGCTGCGGGCGGAAAGCTTGTTAAACTATAAAAATACATTAGCATAGGTTATAGTGAAAGATGATATATATTGTATACAATAATATTTAAAGTTACAAAGTTATATAATATATTAAAGCATGTATATAGTAATAGGTCGTAGTAGTGTACGTGGTCAATGTACAGTAACAGTAAAGTATAGTTAAACCTACAAAGTGCCGCCGATGGAATTTTCCTTTTAACTTTTCTGTAATCAGTCATGTTGTAATTGAGTGACTTTGGAGAGCAAATTGTTATTACTAACTAATATGGAGAGCTATTAAATGTATGTATCGGCATGTGGCTGCGGGTACTGTCCGTGGGTCATTAGTAACTGTTTAGGAGATACATTCCCGGAGCTCGGGCTCGTAGCCTTCAATGAACGGTTAGATATGTTTAGGACGACGTGTTGTTAGAGAACAGTAATCTATTATAACTAGTATAACATATGAGATATAAGACTTTAGTATTCATTTAAATGATACTAATATTAACCGAATTATTACGCGTATTTTATAAAAGATTTACTACTAAAAACTTGGACCTGTCGACAACTGATATTAATTCGTTCCTTGAACGCACTTCGAAGGCAGCCCTAGAAGGTTCTTTTCAAATTTGGTAGAGAGAGAAGCTTGGACGGTGGAGGTGAGCGTTTGACGCTCGTTAGATAGGGCCCCTTAAACCTACACCTGGGTCACAAGTCCCAGTCACTGTTGAAGCTCCTCTCACTACAACGATGGACCTGACACACGCACGGTAAATACATTGAATGCTAAGAGTTTCGTATCATTAAAATAAACTACATAATCCCGACGTTTCGGTTACTTTTTAGCAACCGTGATCAGACAGACGAGATATGAATGTTTTAAAATAATAATGTATTCTTATTAATCTGAATAATATTAGTTTCATTTAGTATAAATTGTTTATCTCTTTTCAATTATAGTTTTTAAACATTATTTCTCCATCATATATCATTAACGTGTCAGTGTTTCCCACCTCTATTTATTCCCTGTTCGTGTTATAATTCATTAATCTCAGTTATTTGTTGTTCATCTCTAACGAGACACACAGAATGCACTTCACCCGTCCACATATACCCTTCGTGGTAATAATGTATTTAATATTTTTTATATGTATATAAATAACGTATGTGTGTGTGTGTGTGTGTATGTGTCTGTCTGTGTGTGTGTGTGTTATAATGATATATTTTTTCTTCACACCGTGCCGTCAGCGAGTTATCAGTGATCGCTTGTTAGCGCATACCACATCTGTACAGTCGGGTAGACGGAACGAAAACAAAAACATAGAAGAGACATTTATAATGAAACGAAAGATATATCGTTATATATGATTTATAAGGAAGACGGATTTAATCATACTATAAGTTAAAAATAATGAATTTTTAACCGATGTTATACAAGTTACGTGACTGGTCCATTGAGTATGCTAATAGAATTTTAAGATAATTTAATACAAATTTATTGAATGATAATAAATATATATTGAAACGAAAGAAAATATTAATGAAACATAAGCTTGGACTTCAAAATAACATGTTTAACATAAAAATTAAAATAATTAAATTATATTTAAATTACGTAAAATCTCAATAATTTTTGACAGAACACAATTTATATTTTAGCAAAATTAATCTGTTATATTGAATTAAGATATTTTTAGCTATTTCATATAAATAAATTATCATTTTCACTTCTAGAACCAGTTTTTATTATTAATGTCGCACCTACAATTTGTAAAACCTCTATCTGTTACAAATAGTCAAAATAGAAAGCGTCTAGTTTTAAAACGATCAACGGATTATGTGATTTAGTCCGCGGCGGCTCTTTGAACATGTGATATTAATTAAGATGTGGATTTAGTTGAACCTGACAAAGACACCGACTCTTAGAATTGATATATAATTAATATAATACTAAGAGTATAGGAAATACTACTGAGAGTAATGAGATCTAAGACTTTCGCGAGTTTTATTCATTTAAAAAATAATATTTTTATCAAATGTTGACATCATTGTTGCTGAAAAGTAATCGAAACGTCAGGAGTATGTAGTTTTTTACAATAAGCGCGCGTAGTATATCCGTAAAATATTAGTTTCATTTAAACAACATTGATTAGTTGTAGATTTCAGAAAGTGGATCTTGTAAGGAAAATATTTTCGAGTTGGAGTTTTTGAATGTTTAAACTAACAGTTGGTAGACAGCGACTTGTAGCTGGAGGATTAATGTCGAACAAAATACGTGACTCAACTAAAAGGTGTCAATATACAGGAACTACAAATAAAATTCATGCTGTAGATAAATATGACCAAAACACGCACTCATAGGAAGGAATTCATTCAGGTGTCTTGAATGACATTCCTTTCTAAACAGAAGAATGAGACATAAATGATAGATGATATATTTTTAAAACATCACTTTTAAATACTCAAAATTGAAAACCAATTAAAGATAAAACAAGAAACGAGAACCAGACTCAGACACTCAGAGACGAACGGAAGCTGAGATGTTACGAAGATACACATGAGATGAAGATCACGAGATAACGGACTGGAGATAGATCTAGAGACATGGCCCGCGGCAAGCAGTTATCACCTTTAAAAGAGAACAGATAAAGGTCAGATTACGGCAACCGATATAATTGATGTTGCATAAAAGGCTATTAAATATCAAATATCAACCTTACGCCGAAAACATTACGACTACCAAGGCTTCGAACCGACGAGCTGTTTTGTATTCTATAACAATAAACTTTGGGTTGAATATCGCGTGATAATAATATGTATTAAGATCGACACAGCGAGACTTACAGCGTTTAATAAATTGGTTACTGAGTAATAAATATTAACATTAGGAGTTATGATGCGAGGCTTTGACCACTGAGGAGATCTGGTATTGAGATCGGTCACTGTATGAGGACCCTCGCGGCGGGTGGACTTGAGAGAATTTAATTAAAACTTGATTGACCTCCATACTATTAGTAATATATTAGTTTAATGTTATCGAAGAGAATTCTCTTGATTTATTTCAACTAAAATTCAAATTTACTAAGCATTTTAAACTGTTTTATTACATGTATGTACGTCTCATTAGTCAGTTAACTCCGTACGCCTATACAATACACGTCTGTCTGTAGCACACGGACAAACAGACTGACGTGTACCGATAGTATGTTAAACTAATTGGATAGAGATTGTATCTTATAGAGAATATAAAAACTATTTGTGTAATATTTATTTGTGTAGTTTTCATGAGCCATTTAGTATTCGCGACACGAGACGTATCAAGCTCACAATCACAGTCGAAGGTCTCAGTATATAAATCAGCATCATTAATCGTGACAGGTTGTTCAATAACTAGCTCGCTCCACTTACTGTACTACATGTATCTGTCTTCAGAAGACAACCTTCGACAGGCGACTGGCGAGCAGCGAGTAGCGAGTAGACTGAACCACGCGGCTTATAGAACGAACCATTGGTCGCTGTGAGGAGATACACGACCAATCAAATACAGACACACTGACACACATACTGATAAGGTAATAGATAACACTCAGTCACCCCGCGCTTATAATATATATTGTTAGAGGCTTGACTTAACAACCACAACTAACAGAGTTACAGATACGAACTGAAGTGACATATGATAACTACATGTAATATTACTCATTCATAATTGGTTGTCAACAAGATATATGACGGTCAGGCGAAATAATATAATTATATATTAAAAAACGATTATTCTATAAGGAGTGTAATTAAAATCTGCTTAGCAATTTAAATTAGGTCATGCTGGCCTAGTATTTAAAGTCTCTTACATGAGGGCGCGGGTTCGAAACCGGGCAAGTATCAATGTGATTTTTCGAATCATATGTACTTTCTAAGGGTATTCAGACACCACTGTGAGATGGTGAAGGAAAACATCGTGAGGAAACCTGGACTTATAATCAAATTATAAGTTTGAAATCTTCCCCCCGTCTTGAGCGAGCGTGATAATTAATTCTCAAACATTCTCCATGTGAGAAAGAGGCCTTGTTCAGCAGTGGGCTCTGAGAGGCTGATGATGATGATGATGAAAACAATTTGAATGATTTGACGTAAATTCATATAATGTATAGTATTTATAATGTAAAAAATGAAGTTCATGTGTGATTGTTTGAGATGAATCTGTCCCCTAATTAACATTGAAGTTACGAAATGAGAGGAAAGTTAAAACAGACAAAAAATTAAAGAGATTCTGTAAAGTAAGGAGCGACGAGCAGCTTCTGATTGATATTTGAGTGACGGCTGACTGGAGTCATCGTGGAGTAAATAATGTATGAGGACCACTCATTAATAATACGAGAAAAACACAAGGGAAGAGTTGTGACGGAACCACAATGAATACAGACACATTAGACGCACTCTGGAACATGAGAAGATTGAATTGAAACAGACGATACCCAGGTCTATCATAAACAAAAACTTCGGGAGTGTTATGACGTACGAATAGTATGAACTATACTGAAAAAACTATATAATGCTTACTATAAGTCGGAGTAGGCATACTACAGACGGAGCGTTCATAGTTTGTATTTAATAAACGTAGATTATTGAATGAGAAATTGATGACGCATCTTGTGTAGTATCACGCAGACGTTTGGTAAACATATTGTACAGAATTACAATGATACGATGTAGATATACTTCAAGCAGAACATACTAAATCTCAGTAAAAGAATTAATCCCTACTAATATTATAAATGCGAAAGTTACTCTGTCTGTCTGTCTATTACGATTTTACGTCTAAACCACTGAACTGATTTTAATGAAATTTGGTACAGAGATGGAGTTGACTTTGAAAAAGAACATAGGATAGTTTTTATCCCAGACTTTTAAAAGGTTCTCTTGGAAACGCGATATAACCGAACTCCTCGCGGGCGAAGCTGCGGGCGGAAAACTAATAAAATATAAAATAAGCTTAAAAAATCTTCAGTTTTAAAAGAAATCTGAATTTAAAGTATTTATCGGTGTTATTTATCAGACCTAATTTATCACACATTCAATAACTATTACGTGAAAAATAGTTCTAATATATTGTGTATGGGCGTGGTGTTGTATGTAGGTATATAATATATATTAAATCACAGTTCAATGTTAATTATAATGATATACATATAATTATGTCCCAACCTCGACGCGGTTAATGAGTGAGTCGTGACTACCATCGATCAACACTGAAATGTCACACTACACGTACGAAACACAGACAGATACGGGATTTATAACATGTATATTAACATAAAGGAAAGTTAAGACTGAACTTATAAAATAATCTCTAAATAGTTTACTAAAGTCTAATGAGAAAAACTATGCTAAGAAGAATTTAGTGAAAATAATAATTATTATTAGCGTTTATTTATTGCACATATTATTCTTAAATATCAAGAAATCTTCAAAAAATATTTCATTTTCCTACTATGGAAGTTCTTTATAAACAGTATAATAATATGTAAGAAAAATAAATATTACTTCGGCCTCATTATTGTATTTTAAGTTTAACACTGGGTATTAGCAAAAAAACAATAATAAACACAATATTTTCGAAAAAATATAAAGTATGAAGTTTAAAAGCTATGTTAAATATTACTAATTTCAATCGCAGTACTTAAAGTTAATAGTCAGTCATTATTGATACAAATATTAATGTATGTTTTAAAAGCTGCCCATGATCTGTTTTACTATGTTTCATAATGACACATAACAGATAATGTATGAACATATACACAACGACGGAGATCGAAAGTAATCGACGAAATAACTAACAATGTGTTTAAAACACTAAGGATCATTTGAAAGATCAATAAACCCGTTGTAAATTTAAGGATGATTACTATATATAATAATAAAACATTCTTAATAGTATGTGATGTAGTTATTTTATCAGTTTAATATAATAATATGTCAGTTTAGGAAACTCCCACACGACTGTCAGTAAGTCAACATAAACATGACTTTCACTTATAACTAACACGTTCAATATATATGATGTTTTGACTATCATATATTATTATGGTTTATATAATTTTAAATCAATTTTCTTTATATATTGTTATCGTTATAGAAACTCAAGATGTGATCACGCTTCGTAATTAATGTGATGGTAACCAAATATATTAAATAAGTATATTTTAAGTATTCAATTGAATCTACTGAGCGTATAAGTTCTCAAGGTCCTTACATTCAACACAACTTTCTTCAAAATCAATATGATCAGTTTATTCAATGAATAGGCCGCGGAGGCCTACAGGCCCGCCTCTCGTGTATAAAGGCGCGTTTTTGAAACCTGGCTAGTACTTATATGATTTTTCCGAGTCATATGTACTTTATAAGAGTATTTAAATACCACTGACTGATGAAGAAAAATATCACGAGTAAACCTGGACTTATATCAAATTATAAGTTTGTTATCACCACCCCGTCTTGAGCGAGCGTGGTTAATGCTCAAACCTTCTCCATGTGAGAAGAGGCAGCTCAGCAGTGTACTCTGATAGGCTGATGATAGTGATTCAACGTATATGTGTAACATAACCTACTCCTAGTATACTCACGTCATCCTGGAAGGTCCTGTGCAGGCCGTCCTTGGTGTACCTCATGTCCCCCTGCTTCAGTATGGCCGCTATCTGTTTCACGAGCTGCACTCTGCTCCTCTCCCTCAGACTCTCCTCCTCCATACACGACAGCCTGTGTCTCTTCCTCGGCTCCTCCAGCCCGTGTGTTTCCATCTTTTTCTCATGTTTCTCTATTATTCTCTGTATTTGTAAGTCCGTGTTATCTTTCAGTTGAACACTCTCTGCTTGTGAACTCATGTTTCTGTTACGTTTTATAACATTTTATATACACCTGTTGACAAATATTATATTTTATATAAAAACATTTATTTTTTTAATATGGTTACTAAAAGTTGGTTAAAATCTCGTAATACAAAAGTATGCTTATAAAATTAAATCATTTTGAAACTTTTACTTTTTTTATATTTTGTATTCTTATATAATATATATTTTATTCACATTAACATCACGAGTAATTATGTTTGTACGAAAAAAAAATTAGGCAAAATATGAAGCTAATTTCTCGTTTGAAACATTTTAATGATATTCTAATTGAACGATGAACTAATACATCTATCCAATTCTTACTCACTAGACACGGCGTCTCACGCTATTTGTATATTTATTCAATTTATTTCATTGAATTAATTAATTAACATTTAATCTATCGAGCAACATATCTATTATAATAAATGTATATACATATAAATGTTTAAACAATTTAATTATTATGTTTAATTATATAACGTTATAATAGAATAACTATTAATGAAATATAATTTATAAACTTTCATCTCCTTGTATTTATATAGACTTATAACAGTGTGTTCAGAAAAAATAACAAGTTAATGATAGACAGATTTAAAGTAACAGTTTAGGACATACATATATTTATATTTACAATTTTCAAAAACATTGAAATGTTAGTTAATACGTCAATTGTATAGTATTTACTGGATCAAGTCTCACAAAACTTACCTGTATTAAGAACAATTCTGTTTAAAACGCTGAACATTTAATACCGACGGGAGACAATGTTTGTTTATTCTTAAATAATACACTACAGTTACTAGTTATGAATAAAAAAAATCATTATGTATATTATAAGTATTTATTAAAACTACTGATCACCAAACACGTACATATATATATGTTACAATAAAACATGTACTTTATAAAATAACCTATTATCTTAAGTCGTCTCATATATTTTTAATATTCTACATCCCTCCGAGTTTAATTTTAACTGACTGTTACCCAGATTTATTAACTATTATCATTTCTTCCTCCATTTCTCATATGTTTCATCTGGTCAAAGTATATTTTTTTCATAAATATTTCTATTTCATTATAAATGCCCCCAGCAAAGTATTTCAAACATTTCACATCATCTACGTGAGTTAACTCATTAATATCAATCCATATTTTCAATAATAAATACATACTATATTTTGCTAGTTATTTCATAACAAATCCATAAATCACAATATTTCTACATACCCACATTACTTGTACATTATAAAATCATATTAATTGACTATAATCAAAACAACGTGATACTTTAAAGCCTATTTAATAAAACTATCATCAATTATAAGTTGATAATCTTTTAAACATATATTCGTCGAGCCCACAGCCCACAGCCCATAGCCGACACACAGTCTACCGAACATTCCTACAGCGAGATACACTTTAACTTTTTATAAATATATATATATATATATATATTGTATTTTAATTATGAAACTTACAATTCATTAAGTGTATCATTCAACATATATCTCTCACGGTTTTTAATTTAAACTTGTCCATAAAGATAACCTTTTTTATTTGTTTAATAAATATCAGATGAATATCGTTTTAATGAATGAATGTTTTTTTTGAATATTTTTTAATATTAATTTACCTGTTTATTATGATGAATACAACCAGTTCACTGTTCACACACGGACGGCTGTATGTGTTATATATATATAGAGACGAGCGGAGCCCGCGACACCGACTCATACACTGAACTAAACACAGCTGTAGGAACTGAGAAACAACTCATTATACATATCATAATAATAATATTATAATTATACTAAGGATTATATACAATATACAATGAAATTAGGACTATACAGAGAAATGCTTACCAATTATGTATCTACTTTTAATATGACTGTTGTAATATTTAAATGAAACTAATATTTTTCAGATATACATCTTGTCTTAATAATCATGGTTGCTGAAAAGTAGCCGAAACGTCGGGAGTATGTAGTTTTTACAAAATAGACGAGCGACGAAACCTCTCATCACTCAATGTATTCACGGTGCGTGTGTCGTGTCCATCGTTGTAGTGAGAGGAGCTTCAACAGTGACTGGGACTTGTGACCCAGGTGTATATCCAAAAAATATTAGCTTCATTTAAATGAATACTCGTGAAAGTCATAGATCTCATTGTGTTGTATAGTTGTGTGTGTATTCTTTGTATATACATATTATACTAGTAAACCTGGCGAACTCCGTTTCGCCACCAGAAGGCTTTTATATAACATTTCGTTTGGTGATTAAAAGATGAAGAATTTTTTGTTTTATCTTTGAAAAGGAAAATTTTTATTTCATTTCACAATAGTAATGAATTCATTTCGATTACAAAAATGAAGTGTTATTTAGTTGAACTTCTCTAAGTAAATGAAAGTGAATCCAAAGTAGATACCGAATCGAAGCGTTATACGTGTCCGCAAATTATCCGTTTCATTGAAGTGCTCCTTTGTAAACCACATTTTTTGTTTTTTGGTCTAACTTTAACACAAATAAAGCGTATGGTTTCCAAACTCGTGAACATACAAAATATAACTACCCATGTGAAAAACAATGATTTTCTAAATTTATCCCGCAAATACTAAATGGTTTTAAGAGTTCAAACTACTAACACATTACCTAAATATTTTTATTTTTATATAGTAGATTTCTTACAAATATCTAATTGTCATCCATACGTCATTACATATCTGTCATTATACGTCAATTGCATAGCTGTCAATTGTGTTATTCCACGTTTTATAGTGACTGACGTTTCATGTCAAGTCCCACGGGAATGCTGTCGAACGGGATAAAAAGTATCCTATTGGAATTTCCTGGTTCTAAACTACCTCCCTGCCAATTTTCAGCTGAATCGGTTCAGCCGTTCTTGGGTTATAAGTGAAGTCACTAACACGACTTTCTTTTATATATATAGATAGAAGATGATGAGTGTATGTCAGTATGCACGTCAATCTCCTCACCATATAATGATAGTGTCAGTCCGTCGATGCCGCTCGTGTTATAGACACATCTAATTATCAAATTAAACTGTCTACAGCTCGTGTGTTACAATATAATAAAACGTTTTAACTTTGTTTTACACGATATAAGAAACACATAATAATGTGAATGAATACAGAAATAAAATATATAAATGAAAAATACTGTTAATTCTGGTACTGTATTAATTAACATTGTAATCGTTTAATTGATAGTAACATAATTTGAACATATTGTTCAAAAGTATTATTGTTTGTATTGGCTTCTTATATTTTTGTTCTTTCAAATGTAACGTGAATTGTGTTTGTTTAAACCTACTAAAAGACTTGGGCCTGTCCAGAACTCACATTGATACATTCTTGGAACGTACGTCGAAGGCAGCCCTAGTAGGTTCTTTTCAAATTTGGTTAGGTAGGGAGAGGAGCTTGGACGGTGGAGATGAGCGTTTAACGTACGTTAGATAGGGACCCCTTAAACCTACACCTGAGTCGCAAGTCACAGTCACTGTTGAAGCTTCTCTCTTTACAACGATGGACCCGGCACGATGAATTCATTGAATGATGAGAAGTTTCGTCTCATGTTGTACAATTTAAAACTTCGGCTGTAGTATTACATTCCTATCTGTTAATCACGATAAAAGTACTGCAATGATATATGCGTCGTTGTTACGAAAATAATAACTAAAAATAACTTAAACGTCAAAAAAATATTCAATTATTGAGAAAAATAATACTGGTCATGATGTAGTCTACTATATTATCTAAATACTGTATATAACACGACACTCACTTCATTTACAAATTTGTTTTCATTTAATTGTACCTGCCACGTTCATTAATGCCTCCAATAAGATTACAATATAACTATTAATGAGATCTAAGTGTTTCGCGAGTATTTTAAATGAAACTAATATTATTCGGATGTACTACGTGTTGAGACGAGATGAGAATGTCCGTCCGTGATCACGGTCATTGCAAAGTAATCGACACATCGCGAGTATGAAGTTTTAAAAATAATAAAATACGCATAATAATCCGACAAAATCAGTTTCATTTATGTAAATATAACAATTATTAAAAGTACATATGCCTTTACATCTTTTTATTTGTGTTACTAAAGCCTCATCAGCACTATTTGGGTTACTTATTGATACGCATATATGTAGATACATATGTAATGTATCAAAGTAGGCTTCAATACAAGCGCTTACAAAATTAAACAGATTTTACTAGATCCGTGCCCTAGTTTCTTATACTCATACTGTTCTCAATATATTTTTCATGTACGTACAACAGAACCATCAAACAAGTTATTTCTGTAATAAAAATCACACAAAGTCGCGAGTCGTTACTTTATACAATTGTATGAGTTATGTGTTTTTCATAAAATTAATATTATTTCTTTTACATTCCACCTTGGTTTTGTTCTCAGTTGTAGTTGTTTTTCAAGTTTTCACTTTCAAGTCCTCGCCTCATTAAACAAAGAATTGGTGAAAAAATAAAAGCAACCAAAACTATTCGATAATAATGTGGTATTTCATAATATATATAATTACATATATTTATTCTCGAACAATTAATCCCTACTAATATTATAAATGCGAAAGTAATTCCGTCTATCTGTCTGTCTGTTACGCTTTCAAGCCTAAACCACTGAACTTATTTTTATGAAATTTGGTACAGAGATAGAGTAGACCTTGAGAAAGAACATAGGATAGTTTTTATTTCACACTTTTGAAAGGTTCTGTTGGAAACGCGATATAACCGAACTCCACGCGGGCGAAGCTGCGGGCGGAAAGCTAGTAATATATATAATTACATATTTAAATTCTCGATCAATTTTTCGCCTTAAACTGTTGTAGCTATAATTATTTTGTTATAGTTGTACATATATGTACATGTATGTATCTGGTAACGGTCGTGAGTGTGGAGTAATCGTGTTCTTTAATTATAAAACATTTCATTGACCTCATTCATTAGTGAAGTGAATTCAATATTAATTATGTATCGATGTAACAACACCTCACAAGCTCTGGGTTCAGTTGTTGTCTATATTTTGACGACTTAATAATCACTAGCAAAAATAAATGTAAGCAAAATAACAACATTAATGATTGAGTGTGATGAAGACGGTCAGCTGTCAGACACACGGCTATAGAGAGATAATTATGATTCACTCATTGAGAGATGATTTATATAAATAAAATGTTCAAAAGGAATATTAGGAAACACTTCATAAATATTCGATCACTAAAGACACTACGTGTTCTAAACAATGCTTCTAATTGAGTTCTTCTGTTGATGGTACTTGTCGCCATGGTAGTCAAGTTGCATAGATTTAGAAAAACTAATTGCATCATGATAGACAAGTATTCGTGATAATTATTTGTGAGCCTTATAATGGAATAAATAAGAGAATGTTTCATATGATTCTTACTCATCACTCGTCACTTTTCTTAACGGACATTATAATTAGCATTTTTTAAAGAGATGTTCGTACTTTCTGACTTTTAAAGGATTCCATACAGGAGTTTTCCAGAGCAACCTCCATGTAATATTAACAGCAAACACTAGGAAACTGATGAGAAGGTATCCACCCAAGTGCCATTGATAGCAAGTCTGACAACAGAGAAGTGTGGGACGTAAGAACTTGATGATGGTAATAGGAATGAAAGAACGTGTATGAGATAACCTTCTTTTTATATATCGGATTTATTAAATTCGTTGTTTTTAAAGAGAAAGACGCCAGCCTCGCTGACGTTACTAATGTCACTTCTAGTCCGTTCCATGATATTTTAAAATGAAACTTCAATTGTTCTTAATGCTCCTGTATTTCTCGAAGGTTCTTCATAATCACATACTTCAATGATACGCACTCACTGAACTCTGAATTTTACCGCCGATCGTCCAGACGTCATATTTATACCAAGATTCAAACATAGTTCTATTCTCCTTTTAAACAATCTTTGATTTCGTTTTACTTTTAACAATAATCATGAATACTAATGATTTTAATAATAATTGATGACAGCCTCAAATTATTTTCATGTCGCATCCGTTATTACAGCTGATAGCGCCGATATACATACCTATATATTGTAGTTACAGTGACCATATCGTTATGATGAGCCTCCACCTCTGTTATTTAAGGATTGTTACAATTTCTGAGCTTCAACTCAAAGCCGTACAAAATAAAATATATGTCACTACTTCCGGCCAGAAATTTCCAGCACTTATACTGGCATTAAGAGTAACGTTCTATACGGTTACAAATCGTGGAAAAATTTGAGTTTTTTATTTATTTTCATTTTTATTTTAACTGTTCACTTTTCGTTCGAAAAAACTTTTGATGTAGTTCTTCTGGTAAATGCCTGTAGGGAGGCAATGTATAAAACATAAAGCAAAATTTAAGTTAGTACAAACATTTGATTTTCTCATTTGTGGAATATATCTGGTAGCCATAATGAATTTGAGATGATGAAGAATCTTTTCCTTCTGTTCTCCTGAACGAATGTACTAATGTACAGCTTTTAATTTACACTACGGTATTTTATACACCAGTATACCTATCTGTAATATTCTGCTTTCAGTGTTATAAATCTGTTTCAATATTATCATGTACTCAGTATCATGGAAATAATAATTCACCGCCACCTGGCCATATCCTAGCTATTGTAAGTGTGTACGAATACATATTTAAATAAAAAGAAAAATGGTAATAGATTAAGCACATCATACGATTATAAGAAGACACGTACTTGGCAAGGAATTGGTACAAATAAGAGTTTATTTTATATTTGTCTATAATAATTATTTTTAGACCATACATATTATATTGTAATATATCACGTTTTCTAAATAGTTTTCCACTTTGTAATAAACTGATGTATCCAAATCATAATCAATGCATGTATTTAGTTTCTGTTGTATAAACATTACTTCATTGAAGATTGTCCATAGTAATATTATAAAGGTTAAGATTTGTTTATTTGTTTGTTAGTTTGTTTGTTTGAACGCGCTAATCTCAGGAACTGCTGGTTCAAATAAGAAAATTCTTTTTAGAATGAATGCTAAGGAATACTATAGATTATATTTTACTGTTAAATAATAATTAGAGATCCGTAGGAAAATTTTATGTTCACGAGGACAGAGTCGCGGGCAAAAGCTAGTATTCAATAATAAGCATGTTTCCTCAAACTTAATATACTCCGACAGGTACAGCATGTATATCTATGTTTAATGTTCAAGACACTCTCTCTACAGATATAAATCTATCAGTGTGTATTAATAATAGTTTTTACTCACCAACATATCTTTAATCTCGAGTGAGCATCGTTTAAACACTGTAATTAATTCTGAACTAAGGTATATTTTATTAATTATTTGATATTTTTCAATCTACAATTATACTTGATGTTTATCAAAGATATATTATTTAACTCCTTGAAATAGATCTTTGGAGATAGTAAGTTATCGAAAGTGTAATGCCTGCCACACACGCTAATATGTAAGGGAATAGACCTGTGTAGTTTTTTTGAACCTGCGTAGGCGACCGGTACAAGATCGAAAATCGATTCATTCGAGTAAAACCCTAGTGTTTTCTAGTGTTTCTTGGTATCACCAGTCTCAACAAAAAAATCCTTGAAGATTTAATCGAAATGTATAGAAGTTATCCATATGTTTGGTAAATTAAAAATAAGATTACAATAATCCAAACAAAAAAGAAGATTTAAAGGTATATGGGTCATTTTTTTTTAACCTACTATGTTGTTAAAATTTTTACTCAAATTAAAAAAAAATATAACGCGTTGTAGTCAAATCGAAAATGTCTATTCCATCTGAAAAAGTTGTTGGCCGCGAAGTTTACAAATTATTGTAAGATTTTCAAGGTCTTAAAGATTAATTGGGCTAATAATTGTACAGCTCCGTCACAATATCTTTTATTTTTTTGTATCAAATAGTTTAACTCCAATAACTTGCTAATTATTTATTACAATAATAGTGAAATTGTTCTTTTAGAAAACGTACAAAGTAAAACTTCTGTACATAATAATAATTAGATATTTTTAATCTTATACCACTCTGTCACAATTGCAGCTAGTTTAAAGTATATTTTTGCTATAATTCAATTATAACCACTTCTAGCACAGAATTATTAATGTCGTAGACTATATTATAGTTAACTATTTTTAATATGATGTTTCCGAAATTGTACTACTCATAACAAAGTATGAAAAGGACTACATACATTTGACAACCAGGAGACATTATCGTGACAAAGTGGTAGAGTAGGTGACAGAGTTGTTATTCTTTAAAATATCAGGTTGTATTTTGAATTAAAATCGGTTTGAAATATACTTATTTAGTAACATTTATTACTTTTTTAACATAATTAAATTTTTAAGTCTTCAGCTTTCTTAAATCGACACTTACATATTAATGAAATCACATTGCAGAACCTTTGGAATGGGAGATCAGTATTAATTATAATATAATTAAATTATAAGACTTTTAACTTGTCTCAACTAAATAAAAAAAATAAAATGTCCAACTTGACTGAAAAATTAAAATAAAATAATAATCATCAACATCAAATTACTTTCTCCACAAGCCATACTTGTCCTAATCAGTCTTACTTTTCGAACACTGGCAAAGGTTCATCAAATTTGAAAAACTGTCTTCTTCCTTTCTTAACCACCTTTGGATTTGGTAGAATTTTAATCAATATATAGTAAATTTATAAATGATTTTTACTGGTAAATAAATGATGAATGCGGAATGATTGCATCTCAGTTACTTTTAAATATGATGTTGATGAATAAACGTAATATTGTTAACAAAAACATTGACTACATTTTCCGAAACGTCAAACTGATTGAGCCACGGCTCTGTACAATACTCTATCTACGTATATTCAACATACACCCTCTGCGTTACTATATATTATACTTACGTATTCTTCTCTGTCATACACTGAAAGTTAACTCTGTCCATGTATACCAATCAAGGTCTTGAATACAATATATATATCACAATACACCTTTACCTCGTCTTTAAAATCTTTATCTATGTATATTTTACTAAAAGGTAACATGGAAAAAATCGCTCATAAGCTATGAAGTCTGCACGTCATTATTTTCTTATGTAATTTTTTATATTGACTTATCTTCATTTAACACATATTATAGGAAGATTTGAAAGAAAAATAACACAACACACATTGCTCCAACACTCGTTTATTTAATAACTAAATATAAATACGTTTGTCCATTCAAAAATTAACTAAAAGATACAAATAAACATTTTATACACGTTATAATATACAACAATAATACTTTAAACACTAGAATATACATAGTAAGCGAAGTAATAATAGTTTGATTTAAAAAACAAACTCTAAATGAAAGCTGTAGCTACGAGTATGAAATCAAACTTATTCTTCATTTTATTTGTTCTCCAGTCTAACTCCTCGTAAGGAATGTTACTATGAAATCAAACTTGATCAAGACGCATCCACTACATAAGAAGGTGTTAATTAATGTGTTATATATTTTATTATTGTTATTCGAGGTCCCCAGTCTAACTCCTCGTGAGGAAGTCATTGGCGATATCTTTCCAGTTGGTACAGTCGTCCTCAGGGTCGGGTTTATTCTTCCTTATCTTCTTCAACAGTTCCCATCCGTTGGCCTTCTCCGTAGAGGACACGTATTTGTTCTCCGGCTCCTGTTCCCGAGTGTACGCGCCCAGCACCAAGCTCTGGACCAGACGAGCTGATACCAAGGGCTGTGATGGAAATATTTATATGGGATTTATATTATATGAAGAAGTTTGAATATTATGTGGTGTTCGTGAATTAGATTAAAGACCCTGGGGAGTATTCATTTAAAAGATACGAATATTTTCAGATTACTACGGGTTTCGGCCACTTTGTAGCAACCGTGATCACGGACAGACTGGAAAGTTAATGAAGGCCCACTGCTGAGCAAAGGCCTCTTCTCACATGGAGAAGGTTTGAGCATTAATCACCACGCTTGCTCAAGACGGGTTGGTGACTTCAAACTTATAATTTGATATTATAAGTCCAGGTTTCTCACGATGTTTTCCTTCGCGGTCCGTCAGTGATGTCTAAATACTCTTAGAAAGTACATATGACTCGGAAAAATTACATTATTACTTGCCAGGTTTCGAACCCGCGCCCTCGTGCATGAGAGGCGCGCTTGTAGGCCTCCACGGCCTATTCATTGAATAAACTGTTCATATTGATTCTGAAGAAAGTTGTGTTGAATGTAAGGACCTTGAGAACTCATACGCTCAGTACGTTCTATTGAATACTTAAAATGAACTTATTTGGACCCAGTTTCACCAATCAATGTTTGTTAAATCTAAACAAGGCCTTTACTAACAAGCCTTCAAAATTATAATTGTCTGTTAAAATATTTACGTTCCACGATGATAAATTAACAACGCATTATTAAACGTAAAGTTAAATGACCGACTACCAAATTATTCGTTCTTGTTATAAGACGACCAAATGGATACTATAGCGTTTAATACGACACGTTTGCCACGATGCACCACTTTATACTTTGATCGTATATATCCCTTTATACATCACTTGTAAACTAATGATACCAAATTTTATATAACGTTGGTTGTATACATTTAGCACACAAAAAGCTTTCTTTTCAATTTACTAGGTGAAACCTGTCAAAGTCGTGCTGTCAATAAATTGTGTTATATATTATTGTGTTATAAATATGGGCATAAATTGTGTTCAAATTTTAAGAGATATTAAAAGTAAATTTAATTTGCAATGTCATAGAAAAGCTGGAGGCAAAACTATCGTAGGAAATGAAATTTTAATTCACTTTATAAATAAGTACAAGAAAATAGTCGAAACTGACAAAACAGATGACGTTACTATGGTTACAAGAAATCAGGGCTGTGATTGGACGATTGAGTTTCGACAATGCATTAACATTCTGTTAGCCATTAGATCGAATTCCAGAGCAGGAATTAATATTAGTGGCTTGTTAAGACATTTAAACGGAAATTAGTGCCGTGGTGGGACGCTCAATACATCTAACAGAGTATCAAACGCCTTAACAATCTGTTATTTATTTAACAATGATTGGTGAAACTGGGTCTTAACATTATGTATTGAACGTGTTAGTTACAAGTGAAAATCATGTTTACGTTACTGACAGTCGTGTGGGAGTTTCCTAAACTCGACGTATTATTATATTATAACTACATCACTATTATTAGTTATGTTCATACCTTCAGTAGTCTGTACTCCTGGTCGGTGAGTCTCCTGGTGACGCTCCACCCGGCGAGCACCACCCCCCCGGCGCGTGGACCGGACACCAGCATGGCGTACGTCATACACACGGACAACTCGAACAACACACACGAGTGTTGGATGTCGCCGAAGTCGAGGATACCGGAGATACGGTAGTCAGACTTACTGGAACGAACAGAACCGGGAAATATATGAGTTATATAGAGAAGAATATGGAGATACTCTTTATCTTCTATATATTATATAAAATGGATTGCTGTTCCTTAGTCTCGCTAAAACTCGAGAACAGCTGAACGGATTTATCTTATCTTAGTCTTGAAATGTTCGTGGAGGTTCAGGGAAGGTATTAAAGCTGAAAAAAATTGATTAATTACTGGGAAAACCATAAAAACAGCCCTTTTCTATTTCCCATACAAACGTTTTTTTTGACATTAGATTTGACAACTAACTAATATGTCAATCATTCTGTCGCACTTCAAAATACGGAGATTTATGGCTTACAGGTAAACTCCAATAATATAAATAAAAAAAACGTAATAGATATTTCTTGATTATAGGGCGATACGAAGTTCGCCAGGTCTTCTAGTAGTTAATATATACAGTATGCTATGTAACTTATAATGAAACTATGGGAGTTGAAGAAGTTATTACTGGAACGAACGAACACAACTAGCGTGTAATGAGAGTTCTCTTTACAGTTAATATATATTTTTTTAACTTAGTAATGTCGTCTTTGATATAGATATGAGAAATAAAAGTTAGTGTAAAGTGTTTTTAATTATTTTACAAATTGATCAAGTGCATGATTCAAATGTGTTGAATTAAATTGTTATTCTGAAGTTATTTCATCCCTACTAATACATATTATAAATGCGAAGTAACTCTGGCTGTCTGTGTGTTACGCTTTCACGCCTAAACCACTGAACTGATTTTAATGAAATTTGGTCCAGAGATAGGGTTGACCTCGAGATAGAACATAGAATAGTTTTTATCCCAGACTTTTGACAGTTCTCTTTGAAACGCGATATAACCGAACTCAACGCAGGCGAAGCTGCGGGCGGAATGCTAGTAATATTATAAAACTAAGTGTTTTTCTAATTTTTTCTGTCTTCCAAGTAAACATTACATGCGTAATCAACGCATACATTTTGCTAACTTATATCTATTCTTCACTATGTAAGTAAGCGATCAGCTCCTCAGAATCAATTCCTGTTTCTCTTATACATTATACTAGTATTAACCCACGCTAGTGGCGCCACCTACCACCTTGTTCTTCCATATCTTACTGAACGTCTCCTTCGTCACCACTCCGTCACCACACAACACGTACGCGACACTCTCTACTTGCTCCACGAAGTCCAGTTGTTTATCTTCTCTGGAAATTAATTTATTCGATAAAGAATAACGAAACATTGTTGTAATATAAATAAAAAGATATATGATTAATTAACACACTATTTTAGTCAAATAATATACATTGTAATAGATGATTCATATTTGATTGTCCCAGATTTACGTTAGTTACGGATTTCATTATATTACACTTTTTGTCTTAGGAAATGCTAAAACTATGTATAAGAACAAATGTAGTCATTAATATAATTCCCATTTTCCAAATAAAGTTTTCATCAGCATAGGAAATAAGGCCGTGAGCTAACTTTGTGTCTTACCAACACTTATATAGGATATCATTACACAGGTAACTCATGTATTTTATTTGTCTCATTATTATCTAGGTACTAACTGTAGTCTCTCCTTGAGTGATTCTATCCACTCCTCTTGAACGAGATGCTCCTCATCACAGAACAGACGGAAGATACGCTCCAACAAGTCCTGGAAATATATATACATAATAATTGATAAACATATGACTTTATATATGTAGATTGTTTTGTGTAGAGATCGCTTCAAATATAATTTTATTATGAATAGTATTCCTATACCATATTATTAAATAAACTCAACTTGTAATAGTGACTATTTAATAATATTATACTTTAATGATTTGTTTCATACTTTTTGTACATAATTTCAAACACGTTTTAATATACGACTCCCACATACGACTGAAAGTTTAAAATAATAACCTAGGTATACCGCAAATGATAAAATTTGTATGAGCTAATTTATATTCAATGAAACATACCTACATTATGTACTCGTATGTATACAATAATTAAAAATTCTTTGTACCTTCTTTCATCATCATCATCAGCCTATCAGACGCCCACTGCTGAGCAAAGGCCTCTTTCTCACATGAAAAAGGTTTGTGCATTAATCACCACGCTTGCTCAAGACGGGTTGATGATAACAAACTTATAATTGTGAAACTATAAGTCCAGCTTTCCTCACGATGTTTTCCTTCACTGTATGTCAGTGATGTCTAAATACTCTCAGAAAGTACATATGACTCCGAAAAATCACATTGGTACTTGCCAGGTTTGAACACGCGCACTCGGCAACGAGAGGCGGGCCCCTTAATCACTAGGCCACCACTGACTTTATAATAATTAAATATACAAGTAAGATAACATTCCATTGAACCGATTAAATTATCGTAGCACGTGGGCGTGTGCTGTCAACGCGATCAGCTGTCATGTGACAGGTGTCAGTGACGTCACCGGCTGTCACCTGTCACCTGTCAAGTGTCAAGTGTCGGGTGATGTGAGGGGGAAGGTGACACGACGCGTCTCATTAGAGCCGGACCCAGATCAGAGATTAACATGTCTCGATATAATGGAAGGTGGGCGACGAGTCGTGTTAATGAAGGATTACAAGACGCGGGAAAAAATAACACCACAGATTATAATAATGTGTGAGAGGTGACATTAATGTTTATACAGATTAAAATCAATATAAAGATATTGTTACGACGATTTATTTACAGATCGTATGAAAATTAATAGAAGAGTTTAAAAGTACTATTGATATTAATAACGTTTTACCTTTAAAGTTAATTAAGTCGTTATTTCATATTAAAATAGTATTAATCGAATCCTCATATTATATCGTATGACAGACGTTAACTTTGACGTTTAATAATAAACTTTAAGATATAAACAAGTTCCGAGGTCGAGAGGTATCCAGGTTTTGCAGCAGTGTGGTATACAACGATCGTTATTTGGGAATAACTGAGTCAGATTACAAAGCAAAGCTAAAGATAATTGTTATTTAGACTCATTATTTTCTATAAGACTAGTTGTGTGACTACTCGTTAGACTTATAGTGTTTGTACAAAAGTATATCTTTATATATATATAATTCTTCTGTGAGTGTGTATGTCACTGAACTTCTTTCAAACGACTGGACCGATTTTGATGAAATTTTTTGTGTGTTTAAGGGGATCTGGGAATGGTTTAGATTCACAATTTTGTCCGCTGGACTATTTTTTTTTAACTAATTTTTAATTTATCAGTAGTTGTAATTTGACTACTAACTAATATAACTTCAAAACACGGTGATTTATGGCTTTAATAGGTAAACTCTAAAAATATAAATAAAAAATGTAACAGATATTTCTTGATTTTACTGCAATAAGAAGTTCGCCGGGTCTTCTAGTTATGTATAAATGAAAGCCTTTTTATGGTCTTATTGTGGGTAAACGGCGGTCATTAAAAAACAGAAAAATCTATTAATGTATCAAATATCACCAATACTACATGAGTGAACTTATTTTAGGATTATAAAGGATTCCAAAATAGTTTTCATTGAGATCTCAATTTTCATATATTGTATTTGGACGCGAGCGGAGACCAGTGTCTTCAACTGTATGTGAAGTCAAATTTTTAATTAAATATTCATGTAAGAAACGTGTTCCTACAACCGTTAGCGCTCCTTCTATCGACACTCACTTTAAATACAAGTTTAATTCATATTTGTTTGTCCGAGTGTTCATCTTTACAACGAGTCTTCAATATATTTAATATAAAGTATATACTTAAAATATAAAGTCAAAAATACTCGCTATATAATTGTATCGTATGGGTATCAATCATTTTAATTCTTAAAGTAATAATTATATCATTTTTAATACTAGCTGTTCCACGCGGCTTTGGTCGTATAAATCCCCTTTTGAGATCATCCTCTTAAAGATTTATTAATATTTCTTAGATTTCAACAAATTTTGATGGTTTTACCTGAGGAAAATGACCTTTCAATAAAGAAAACCTAACGATTAGCCCACAATAGTAAGAGTACAAGACTCAAGAGTAACAAGTAAGTAATATACATATATTAATCGTTATCAGAACTTTCTCCTTCAAGTTTGTTAAAAGCAGCTGAATTTACTTCACACGACCTTGACCGGCGGGTGAAAGTATAGTATAGAGTTTGATAAGTTTAGTAAAAGTTATTAATGTGAATTTATTTTCTGTTTCTTAGGTACTAGTGTCTTTCATTAGACTACGATCATGTCTCAATGTAACTAAAACATGTCATATTAACGGCAATGTGTAATCTCATATAACATGTTGTTCCAATATAATATGTATTAAAACTATTTAATAGCATCAATCGTTTGTTTTTACATATTTCCATATTTTATGATTGTAGTTTCAAAAAGTACCTAATAAGTCGAAGTTTTACTTATTAACCAGTTATTGTCACATTATAGACACATTATCTAAGTTATATACAAATAGTATCATTGTATTAGGCGAAAAATATGAAAAATTTAACGAACTTCGAAATTTCTTTGTACAGATAAAATATAATTTAACGAGTGACGCTGCTGACTCCGCGGAACGAACACCAAGCGTGTGAACCAGAAGATTCCTGATACACACAAGCTATGGAATGGGATTGCTATCATAACATCGGGTCAATCATGTAGGTGTAGGTTATAAGTTTTAATATGTAGTTCTTATTATCATGTAAGTACATTTAAGTAAGTTTCGTAGTTTCTCTTAAAGCTCTGTTCAATTAAGTATACTAATTAAAACTCATTAATAAACAATAATTTATGTAAGAGTACATACAAATAGTTTTGATGTTTGTAAGATATTCAAACTGTTTTTTATTGACTGAAACAAATATATATTATACTTGTAGCAAACTATTCTCATGGTCATGAATGATCAAACATTTAGTTTTCAATACGTTGTAACACAGAGCGTATCTACATATACATGTGTATGTCTGTCTGTGTCAGTAGATCTGTCTCACGTGAAGGTGATCTACATTCATCTCGTGCATGTGTCGACCACCCACAGCTGACACAGCCTCCCGCCGGATACAGCCCGCCTTACATCCGGTTACATACATTACATTGAAAAACATATTGCTTTAAAGCACTAAGTAAGTTAAAATAGAAATATTATTATATTCTTACTAACAATAAGATCAGTTTGTCCTGTAAGAGTAACATTCTAACATTTATCTAATTATATATATTTTTTATATATATGTAATATTTAAAATATAAAAAAGAGACTTCTATTTTGTATGTTCTATTAATATTATTAATATCAGATGAAGAGATGTGATATTGAAGTGATAAATATGTATATTTAATGAACTACAATAACTACATATTATTTAAAAATATTACTTATATATGGTGCTTTTCTATGTAACTAAAGGTTTCTGATAACAACGAAACTTACTTATATGTATATTATAATAAGAGTTACATATTAAACCTTATAACCTACACCTAAGACTACATGATTGACCCGATGTTAGTATAGCAATACCATTCCATAGCTCGTGATGTACTATCAATATTCTAGTTAATGTAGCCAGGTGTTCGTTCCTCGGAGTCAGCAACAACACTAGAAATATAATATTTTATCCATACAACGATGTCGCCCCGGCGATGTTCACTTAATTTAAAATATTATTATTAAATGTGAACAGATTTGAACCCTGTAGTATTTAATATTTCAACATTCAACCAATTCCAACTACAATTCATCTGTTTCTATTTATGTTGTGTCCGGTTGTTCGTAATATTTATTTTGTATATTAATGGTATCGTCGTGTTGTGTATTCGTTAGTAAAGTCATATTAATACAACGTTACTAAACCTTAAAAGGATCGTGTCAGAGTTCAACAGTTCAACTGACGGAACTAACACACGACCGGTGTAATGTTGTTACAACGAACATTAATATGATTGTAACATTAATTGTATATAATAATATAATATTTATTAGAATAAAATTACAATACATATCTCAAAGTTAAGTAGTGATCTGATTTGTATAGATAATGATTTTTTGCTTAACTACCCCATATTATCAATTAAATACGTTTTTTTCAAATATATGGGAAAACAATAACAAATTCGGCTCATCGAAGATCTCTCAATGTTATTGGTCAATTAAAAGGAAAGATCTTAGCTAAACAATTATTCGATCTATGGGATCATAAGTGACGCCATAGTTCAACTGTAGGGGGCAAGATAGAGATTATTATAAACACATAAGGATTCTGTTTTAAGAAATCGTCGTCAAAAAAAAAAAGATTTAGAAAAAAGACATTTGAATTCTATCAAGCTTAGTGGAGCTTATAACTACCAAGAAACGTAGATATTAAATATACTTCCCGACAAGCTGCGAGGTCGATACTATTGTGTGTATACTAATGTACCGAGCGTAGTGTAGCTTGAAACACATTCATCTTGTGTTATCAGAGAGACTAAACATCGGATAAGAGTTAATACTGTGCTCGTGATACGACGATTAGCCTCCATGTGGACCAGAGCAGACTTCACACTTACAATATACAAACAATAATGAAAAGACAGACACTTAGACTAGCCGAGGAACAAAAATAAATTACCTTCAGATAGCATTGCTTAAAACTATATATTATACTATCATATTTTTATT